ATATAAATAATTGTGAGAGGCAATTATAGCATTTGGTGTACATTAGTCTCCATTTTGCACTTTAGATAGGATGTGATGTGAGGTGGGTGGTTCATGCTATGTTGAAGTCTTAATTGTAGTCAGAGCTGTAACTCTTGGATTTGACTTGGTATTGAGTTGGCAATCCATGCCAAATGTTAGAACATTTGTTTCATGGCCACTTTCTTTTTCTCCCAACTAAAACATAATTTATTTATGCTTAGTTTAGACCATGTAGATTTGAATGTCTATAGCCATTACATTAGCTTGTTTAAATCTGCAGGGCTAAATATGTAAACTGTACAATATTTTATAAGTAACACGATGTATATTACGCTAGGGAGTTGTATAAATAAACTAATGCCATTGTTCCAAATTGAAAGTACAATTTAACACGAATACAGGAGACAACGTAATGTTGCAACTTGGAACGTTAGTTAATATTTTGAGAGCTAAGTTTCTTAACATCTTGTCACTTTATATTTTAATCAGATATATGTAAATTACTATCAGAAGAAAGTTTCATTGTAAGTAAGTAAGTAACTTTATTGCTTCTCTTTTATAACAGAGGCACAACCGTAAAGATGTGCAACAATAACAAAATCAGTAGTATAGACCAAAATATTTTATTACATTGTTGAACATTTCAACAGTACTCTCTTGTATGGATTATCAACATTGGTGTAAACATAATCATTCGCTATAGCTATACAAGGTCGACGACCAATACTAATGCCATCAGCAGTAGCTACTGTGTGCAAACACAAGTGCTTTGATCAAGAGAGGTTTGAACTGTCAAAAACATTTTTGAATCATAGTAATATTGTACTTAGAAGACGAAATGAAATGTTATGATCTGTATGTAGATTAATATTATGTAAATAATAATACGTAAATTTGCAGATGTTAACTACTATATTATCAATTAGGTTAAGTCTGTTAATCTTTTTTATATCAAAGTATTTATGAGGTTATTAAATTTTAATTTTGGTTTTTTCAAACAGAATTTATATTTTGGTTCTTACTTCAGTAATATACTATTAATGCTAAAGTTGGTAATTACATACAGAGATATTATGGCAACATAAAACTGCAATTTAAAGGTGAAATTCATAAAGGAAGGGATAATCATCAATTTTAAGAAAATATAAAACAATTTTCTGTGATACACTTCCTTTAATTAGTAATTATATGATGATTTATTTATTTATTTTTGAGGTCATCATCATTTTTTTAAATTTTATAAGTATGGGTTACATACAGTATTTACCCCCTTCACCCTAGTGTATATTTTGTACTTGTGAAAATTATATGGATGACCCCTTATAAAAAGCTAGAGCGTAGTATTGTATTTTTTCCACTCAAATATTAAGTATCAAATATATAAGTAATAAGGAATGCTTTGAAATCTCATGATTGATTGGCATTCCTAGTGCCAAACATGATTCATTTGTCATCAGGTACTTGCCAGTTGTAGTTAACCCCAGGTGGTTATGCAAATTAATGGATAAAATCTACCATCAATTTGACACCACTAAAATCAATGAAGCCCAAATGTTTTTAGGTGCTAGAGTGATTATAATATTATGGTAGTGATATTTGTGAAGAATGGATGTGTAAATTGGATCAGGGTAGGGGGAACATGATGCAGAGTGTACATATAAATGCTACCAAAGGATACACCAGTCAAAGATGAATATGTTAGGAAAGTTGATGACTTGTTGGCAGGCCAACAGTATGGATTGCAACAATGATCCAAGGTTTTAGAAATATAATAAAAGTTAATTATAGACCACAGACCAGCAAAGGAGATTTAAGAAGTACAGTAACATAGTGTACACAGTTTCCACCCAAAACATACACCATAGCAGTTGAGGATGATGATGGAAAATACTTAATATAGATAAAAAAGAATAGATATCATCATAGAAATCTTTCAGCCAGGACTGACAACATAATTATGTATAATTAATTATCATGTGACAGTAATCTGTAATCATACTGTAATGCTTGTAACTGAAACCGTTGTGCACTTAAGGTTCTGAAAGTGAAAGTTGTTTACAATGAAACTAAGATCACACACTAATATAAGATCATAAAGAGTGACTTTATGGTTCTTTTTTTAGTTTTTATTTTTATTAAATAAAAGTAAAAATTTGACCCCCATGATCCCATAAATATTTCCTTGCTTTAAGTCTAATACCCCATTCAGACTAGACTTTGCATTGCGACCAGTTGCGATGTAATCGGTGGTAAACAGTTGTAATCCAAATTGTTCACAACCATTCGCAAACTTCAACAGCATTCAGACACCTTTTTACTTTGATACTTTACATCACTAGCAACGATGTAGATCGTCCTGTTTTGTTTGACCTCATCCAATCAGTGCCTGTGGAATCCGTTGCGATAGGATTCCGTGGTAATTGTCAGTAATAAAAATTGTAGCACCCAATCGCAACGGGTAACAATTGCGAAATCGATTACTTATCGACTACTATTGGTGAGCTTTCAGACACGATTTTACTTTGCGATTGGGTGTCGCAATTGCTACAACCGATCGCAATGCGAGGCTAGTCTGAATAGGGTATTAGTAAAACTTTAGTTGTTTTGTTTGTGTTTGTTAACATTTTGCAATCAAATTAAAAAAAGGAATTCTGAGTTGGTAGAAGAGCTGCATAGAATTTTGTTAAGTAATTCTGCAGGTGTTTTCTAATTTAGAAATATTTATTATATGCTGGTGTATTGATGTTAAAACTAGTAGTAAACGACTTTCTGTCACCTGTTCCTGATAATTATGATGTCCTGTGGTATGATGATTATCCATTTTTGTTCGATTCAGTAAACAACAGTCAACATCAATAAAAATAGCCACTAACCTAACATGGTTGACTCTTAACATAATCATGATAAACATAAAGTAACCAAATATTTTGTGCTTATGGACATAAAATATGTTAACGTTGATTTAATAACAACATTAATGTTGATTTAATAACGGTGTTATCTCAAAAGCATTATAACTTTCAAAAATGTAAAAAATTTATTGATGCATAAGCATATAATAATAATAAATAC